TAACATTATGTATATATTCCATATTGCCTCCAAATGGATCTAACATCGTTAAAATAAAATTAAGCTACTGATTCTTAAAAGGGAAAAAGGAGGCTGGGCTCGGTGGCTCAGCCCATAATCCCAGCGCTTTGGGAGGCCGAGGTGAGCGGATTGCCTGAGTCCGAGGGTTCGAGACCTGCCTGGGCAACTTCAGACAAGCCTTCCAAGTAGCCAGAACTACAGGCGTGCCTACCATGCCAAGCTAATTTTTTGATTTATTGTAGAGACAAGGTCTTGTCAAGTTGCCTGGGCTGGTTTCGAACCTGTGGGCTCAGGCAATCCATTCACCTTGGCCTCCCAAAGTGCTGGGATTACAGGCTAAGTCACTGAGCCCGGCCGACAAGCCTTTTTCAAGAACTCTACTGGTCCTCGCCTCATATCTAACAACTACTGTTGCTACAGTTGATATTTCCATTAGCACTTTGCATTTTATGAAGCACTTTCACACGTATTATTATTTTCGTCTTCCCAATAATCCTATAAATTAGTCAAACATTTATTTATTCAATGAAGAGTTATTTGCTTATTTTTCAAATGAAAAAACTGAGAGAAATAGATATGACTAAAGAAGATGGCACAGTTAAGTGTTCGAGCTAGGACATGAATTGAAACCCAATCTCTAACTCAATCCTGTCCCTTCCTTCCACATGCCAAGGCATCTATAGTCATTAGAGTGGCATGAGGTAGCTGTCAGAGAAAGGCTGGAAGATTCCAAGTCATGCTGTTGAACCTGGGACTCTAATGAGAGAGAGACCACAAAGAGCCGGCTCCGATGCAAACACACAAGGGTCTTTATTCAGGCTCAAGTCTGGGCTCACGCCCGAAGCAGCAGCTTCAGGGACGAGAGCCCAGATCCAGCATGGCAAGCAGTTTTTATACATCATTACAGAGGGAGGGGAAAGAACTTTAAACTTGTTTTTACATGATAGGGTAATTTCTCCTAATGGGTACAGGGGCACTTGGGATTGGTCTGGTCTGCTCAGCTACCTGTGATTGACTGGGGAGCTGCTAAATGAGCAGAGTGGAATGTCAGCAGGCAGGCTAAGCAAAGGAATGTCCGGGAGGGGTTTATTACTTGACATTCATATACTGCTAGCAGCAGTTGCGGAAGCAATCGGTTATTTTATGAGACAAACAAAAATTAAACTTAACAAAATTCTAAGTACAAACACTGCAAACAAATACAGTGAACGTGGGGTAGGAATTCATATAGTAATAGTTCTCTTAGAGGTTTTTTTTTTTTAATCTCTTGGGTCTCTCAATGCATTGCTCAGTAAGGGAAAATTGTTATAAACAATAAGGTAAAGGAACAGTTTAATGGCTCTTTTAAAGACTTGTGGTGGGGGTAACAGAGGGATAGGGATGAAGAGGGATTTTTAATTAATTTGCACCTCTGATCCGGGCTCGGTGGCTCAGCCTGTAATTCCGTGCCTTTAGGAGGCCGAGGTGAGTGAATTGCCTGAGCCCACGGGTTCGAGACCTGCATGGGCAACTTGGCGAGACCTCATCTCTATAATAAATAAAAAATCAGCCGGGCGTGGTAGCATGTGCCTGTAATTCCAGCTACTTGGAAGACTGAGGCGGAAGGATCGCTGGAGCCCAGCAGGTCGACGCTGCGGTGGCCGGGAGTGGCCACTGCACTCCAATCTGGGCGACAGAGTGAGACTCCAACTCAAAAAAAAAAAAAAAAATGTGCACCTTTGCTTTTCTCAGGTTCATGAAAACAAACACACACAAATTTCTCTTCGAAGGTAGTCAAACCATTAATCACTTAGAGGCAGTTGATGGAGTTCTGAGGAACCATCTCTCACTTCTTCAGGAACTAGCAGACACGGACAGATATCTGTCACTTTACAAGCTGTCTCTTTTTGGGCTGGGTTCAAGTATTCACAAGTGGGAGTAATGGTCCTTCCTAGATAACATCAGCCATTCCTATACTTTTTAAACACCAGGAAGGGCTTCCATCTATTCACATTCAATTTGTGACAATAGATGTTTTCTAAATCAATGAGGTGTTCTGGAACCTTCTGATAGGTTTCAAATATCAGAGGGGAAAGGAGGAAGGAAAATTTAGCTAGAATTTAGATTCTGAGAAATCATGTAGTCAGGATTCCCATATCTGGTTAGTACAATACTCAAAATATCCCCAGATATAGCATATACTTTTTTTTTCAAGTGCTAGAGAATGAAAATCAACAAGCTCATGTAGACAGACATTCACATAACTCATATTCCATAAACTCAAGAGGTTACACTCAAGCCTAGCCCACCAACATATAACCTCTCATATCATCCTTTGGAAAGACTAAAGAAAATAACGGTAGTTTCTAAATCGAGCGCCCCTTACATAGCTTTGCTTATCTATATATACAAGAAAGCAGACACAGGGATGCCCAAAAGACACAGTCAGAAATGAAATGTCTCCTCATTTAACTTGGCCTTAGCAATATAAATCAAATGGCTCTATAAAGAGATGGTCACCTGGGGTGGAGGAGATTTTTTGGCCTCTGTTCTCTACACACTGTGCACACCTATCTCACCACATGGGTGGTTTTGTGTTAGAATGATCTATTCACTTATTGGCTTAGCCATCACACTGTCAGCTGGTGGGTAGAGATTACAGTCTTTTAATAATATATTCTTAGTACCTTCACGGTGCTAACACTAGATGAATAAATGAGTTATTAGGATATAAGACTATACAAGCCGCACAATACAGAAAGGTAGAAATTAGAAGCAATGATGGGAGGGGAGCAAACAATTGCAAACAATTTAACTATACTAGTTATTGTAAAACAAAGGGGGTTTTCATGATAAAGAACATCTGTCTCCACAGAGATGCTCACTTGAGCACTGTAATAAAGGTTTACTACAGGCTGAATGTGGTGGCTCATGCTTGCAATCTCAGCACTTTGGGAGGCCAAGGTGGGAGGATTGCTTGAGCCCAGGAATTTGAGATGAGCCTGGACAACATAACGAGACCTCATAAATAAAAAAATATTAGCTGGGCATGGTGGTTTGTGCTTGTAGCCCTAGCTACTCGGGCGGCTGAGAAAGGAGGATGGCTGGAGCCTATGAGTTGGAGGCTACAGTGAGCTGTGATTGTGCCACTGTCCTCCAGTCTAGGCAACTGAGTGGGGAAAAAAAAAAGTCCACTGGAATAAGCTCCATGAGGACAGGGGCCATGGTGGACATGTTGCTTTCTCATACAGTACTTCTCACGCCCCCAGGCAGAGAAGAACTCAGTAAACAAGAGACAGTGGCTGGGAGGTAGGCGGATAGATGGATGGATAATGACTCAATGAAAAGGCAAGCTGACTACACAAGGAAACCTCAGCTTGCTAATTAAAACTCCACTGAAACTACACATCATTGTCCACTAATGGCTGCTCAAGCAATACTTTCAACAATACTTGTTATTATCTTTCCTATAAATGGCAAGTCAGATTATCTACTCTGTTCAAAGCCTTTTCCATGTGGGGGGGAAAAACACACAACTAAATACAGTATAATGGATAATATTTTCTAAGAGGCTAGCCTCAGTTATTCCCATTTTTATTCTCCCCAATTTACTGTTCTTGAGTAACTTTGGCCTTGGATGTAACATGACTTCCCAGAACCTTGTAGGTTTGCTTTACTTCCTTTGATTGTCTCTTATTATCATACTGTACACTTGTCCCTTCCAAGGACCACAGATGGTTGCTGAACACCTGGAAGCAACTGTAGTGTCTGTTCAATTGTCTGTAGTGTCTGTTCAAATGTTTACAGACTGTATGCTTCTTTGTATCACTGAATGGAACAGACCAGGAATCACAGCCTATTAAATGAAATTACTGTGTAGGTGTACAATCATTGCAGGGAGTGGAGAACAAAACCATGATTGTATGTGAGCTCTGCTGTGTGCAAAATTTTCTTTACATAGTATTTGGAAAAAGTCACAAAAGAGATATGCAATAACACTGGGCACACAAGTACAAAAAATTGTGTCGTATCTATCATTTCAAATAGAGTAAAAACATTATTACCTCTGGTTTTTTTTTTTTTTTTTTTTTGAGTCAGAGTCTCAGACTGGAGTGCAGTGGCATGCTCCCGGGCACCGCAGCCTCAACTTGCTGGGCTCTGGCGATCCTTCCACCTCAGCATTCCAAGTAGCTACAGGTGTGTGTCACCACAGCCGGTTAATTTTTTGATTTACTGTAGAGATGAGGTCTTGTCAAGTTGCCCAGGCTGGTCTCAAACCCATGGCCTCAGGCAATTCTCTCACCTTGGCCTCCCAAAGTTCTGGGATTATAGGTATGAGCCACCAAGTCCGGCCATTATAACCTCTTGTAAACTGCCTTGACAGTAAACACACACATCCACATATACCATCTAACTGACTGTCAATTGATGCCAAGAGGTAAGCAGGCCATGTGTTTCAGTTTTCATTTTATTTTATTTTTATTTTTTGAGTTGAAGTCTCATTCTGTCACCCAGGATGGAGTGCAGTGGCATGCTCACGGCCACCTCAGCCTCAACCTGCTGGGCTCAGGCAATCCTTCCACCTCAGCCTTCCAAGTAGCTGGGACTACAGGCGTGCGCCACCATACCTGGCTAATTTTTGTATTTATTGTAGAGATGAGGTTGCGCCAAGTTGCCCAGGTTGGTCTCGAACCCGTGGGCAACTTGGCGCAACCTCATCTCTGGGAGTCCTCTCATTTCGGCCTCCCAGAGTGCTGGGATAATGGGCATGAGCCACTGTGCCTGGCCTCAGTTTTCATTTTAAAGAGGGAAAACCAAGGCTTTGAGAGGTTCTCAGACTTAATCTCAAACAAGTCAGTTTGAGCATGTGTTTTGATGGCAGGACTGGAGTCAAGGTCTCCTAAATCCTAGTTTTGTGTGTTTGATTTACAATTCATCAGCATGTCTTTAAAGCTTTGGGATAACCTTTATTTTTCCACAGCAAATGCAAAGCATCGTACCTGGTTTATTTCCTGAGTGGTTGCTATTTTGTCCTGAAACTGCAGAGGGGAGGCGGGGGGAGGCAGTTTTCTTCTCTTGTACTTTATAGAGGTCAGGCGCTACACAAAGGAGACAAAAGAGACACAGACATCTTCAGTTTCTTAAAATTCCTTCAGAAACATTCACCTATTCAAGTACAACATTCACTTGTATCAAGTACTAGGAGGGAATCAGGAAATGAAAGATGAAGTAGTTATCCTCAAGGAGCAATGTTCAAGTGGCAAGGACAAATCCAAAATCAACAGCCTCAGTCCTAGTGACCAATCCCATAGGAGTGGCAGGGTCAAGGGTCCATGAAGAAAGAGTCTTTCCCCAGGCTATTCCCATTTATACATAAAGCAACCACATGGAAACACAACTGGAACCTAAAGTCTTTGATCTTAGTTCTCAGAGAGCGCCCTTGGCTTTGAATATATTTCTTTCTTTCTTTTTTTTTTTTGAGTTGGAGTCTCACTCTGTTGCCCAGGCTGAAGGGCAGTAGCATTCTCTTGGCCACTGCAGTCTCGACCTGCTGGGATCAGGAGATCCTTCTGCCTCAGCCTTCTAAGTAGCCAGATCTATAGGTGTGTGCCATCACATCTAGCTAATTTTTTGATTTATTGTAGAGACAAGGTCTCACCATGTTGCCCAGGCTGGTCTTGAACCTGCAGGCTCAGGTAATCCTCTCGCCTTGGCCTCCCAAAGGGCTGGGATTATAAGCTTGAGCCACTGTGCCCTGCCAACTTTGAATATATTTCAAATGTGTTCATTTCTTCTTGTCTTGGCATATTCAACATCATTTAATCTTACCCAGGTGACTATTTAACAGCAGACCAGGGAGATCAAAAAGATTTCAACACATGCTCATAACAAGTCGCTTTTCGGAATAAGCCCTGATAAAAGTTTTTTTGAATAGCTGTAGTTTGTTTTATTATGCTAAAATTCAAACGTGAAAAATACATTTCAATTAAACAGGAGGTCCGTCAGGTTACTTGAATGCATCAGTTGCTCTTCACCTGATTTTTACTGGATCTACTCTAGTGGAACAGAGAGACCTATCTGCCCACTTCACTATCCCCTGGACGTCAAGAATTCATTTCTGCCCAGAAGACCCTCTGAGTCATACTCACATGAGGAAAAGTTAAAATCCATCTGAACATTTTTCTATGTTCATGTAAAACTGATAGGTATTTCTAGCCATCAGGTTGGCCATACTTCTTTTTTTTTTTGAGTTGGAGTCACTCTGTCGCCCACACTGGAGTGCAGTGGCCACTCTCGGCCACCGCAGCCTCGACCTGCTGGGCTCCGGCGATCCTTCCGCCTCAGCCCTCCAAGTAGCTGGAACTACAGGCGTGTGCTACCATGCCCGGCTCATTTTGATTTTTTTATTGTAGAGCTGAGGTCTCGCCAAGTTGCCCAGGTGGGTCTCAAACCCGCAGGCTCAGGCAATCCACTCACCTCGGCCTCCCAAAGCGTGGGATTACAGGCTGAGCCACTGAGCCCGGCTGGGTTGGCCATACTTCTAAAGTGTTCAGGTCACCTCTCTGCTTTTATACAAGTCTTTCACTTTTACCATTGTAAGATCCATCTTCCTTTAACAACTTCTTTGGTTAATATTATATCATGGCAACAGTAAAAGACACAGACAGCCTGGGTACAAATCTGAGACCTGGTACTCATGAGCTGTGTGCCCTGAAAGTTACATAACTTCCCCAAGTAGGTTGTATAGAGTGATCTTGCCTAACTCACAGGGTTGTTGGGAGAATTAACTGAGATGTCAAGAATCTTGCGTAGGCCTTGGCACACTGCAGGTGTTTAACGAACATTCAGGCCCCTTTCTCCCAAGTTTTATGCTCTTCCAGAAAAGAGGGAAAACATCTAATTTCTGAGTTGTGAAAATTAAATGAGATAATGTACAGAAAGGTCTTTGACTGCCTGGCACGGCAAGGCACAATAAACGGTAGACAGTATTTTCAGCTCTCTTGGTATTCTCTGCATGTATGCAGGAATCTGGGTTTCTATTTCCTCGGGCTTTGAGGGAAAGCAAACCCATGTTAACTTGGTAACAGTGGTCTTGGGGGACAGGTGACCAATGTGGCAGGCCCTTGGGCAGGCTGAACTTATTAATATGATTTTTAGGATATGCTCTGGTTTGGGAAGAGGTAGTCAGTCTTTCTGATTTGGGGTTTGAAGAGATGATGGTTTTCTTTTTTTTTAGAAAGCAGGATTTATTGAGAACATAGAAAAGCTCCCACAGTGGCAGGGGACCCCAGGGGGTTGCCCGAGATGATGATTTTCTTTTTCTTTTTCTTTTTTTTTTTTGAGTTGGAGTCTCACTCTGTCACCCAGACTGGAGTGCAGTGGCCGCTCCCGGCCACCACAGCCTCGACTGCTGGGCTCCGGCGATCCTTCCGCCTCAGCCTTCCAAGTAGCCGGAATTACAGGCATGCACTACCATGCCCGGCTGATTTTTTGATTTATTGTAGAGATGAGGTCTCGTTAGCGAGGCAGGTCTCGAACCCGCGGGTTCAGACAATCCACTCACTTCAGCCTCCCAAAGGCGTGGGATTACAGGCTGAGCCACCCAGCCTGGCTATGATTTTCTAAGATTCAATATCTTTCGATATATTAAGTAAATATGAGCCTTTAAAAAAGCCCTCAATAATAATAATGGGAAAATAAAAGCTTGTGAAAATTTTTTGTTTTTAAGTACAGGGAATTCCATTGCCTAGAACACAAAGAAAACAGGGAATTTACTCATTTTCAGATTTCCAAAATTTCAAAACTTGAAAATCCTAGTTCATTAGCAGATGGGATTACATTATACCTTTCAAAATATCTCATTGAGAAAAAAAAAAATTAGGCCAGGTGCAGTAGCTCACACCTATAATACCAGCACTTTGGGAGGAGGAGGTGAGAAGACTGAGCCCAGAGGTTCGAGAACAGCCTGAAAAACTTGGCAAGATCTTGTCTCTACAATAAATCAATAAATTTTAGCAGTGTGTGGTGATGCTCACCTGTAGTGCCAGCTACTTGGAAGGCTGAGGTGGAAGGATTGCCTGAGCCCAGCAGGCTGAGGCTGCAGTGGCCATGACCATGCCACTGTACTACAGCCTGGGCGACAGAGTGAGACTCTGACTCAAAAAAGAAAATTTAAAAACACATTTTTTTATTTATTGTAGAGTCGAGGTCTCACCAAGTTGCTCAGGCTGGTCTTGAACTCCCAGGCTCAGGCAATCCACTTACCTCGACCTCCCAAAGTGCTGGGATTACAGCCTGAGCCACCGTGCCCGGCCTTGATAACAAAAATTAAAGTAACTCAGGTGATTTCCTAGTATTACTTATTTGAGTCTTTCATTTTTTTAAAAAAGAAAACTAAGTAAGCCATATACTATGACGCTCAGTCAGTGTTTACCAGCCTTATAAAATCCGTATTGATCTTCCTGCTATCTTGAAAGCTGTCTTCCATTAATGTCACTCGTGAGTGCTGGAGTAAAGACAAGAGGAAGGACACAGACATGCACCCCTGTGGTTTGGGACTCTCTTTCCAAAATACAGTATGGAGACAGCAGACATGGGGAGCCCTCTTCATCTGGTAAAAACTCTGTGACTCCAATAAGTGCCACAAACATGCCAGTGCAGATGCAACCTCTGCCATTCACAGTAGTTCCGGCAAGTATCTTCCCATAAAGGTCATGGGTTCTCACTGCTGTGTCTCTCCTTCTGGCAGCCTGGTCCAACCAAAGTGTCTTTTTTCAATCGCTCAGAACAAGGGGACCAACAAATAAATGACCCGTTTAGTCAAAACATTTGCTCTGAGACACTTACGACTACAATCTTAGGGTGATCCTGAGTTTAAATCTCACAGCATCATATGTGGATTTGACACTCATGATGGCAATGTACTTCAGTCACTATTTTGAAAAAAAAAAAAGGAATGTGGGCTGGGACAACAGAGAAGTTTAGAACTCAGTTCCCAGCTCTCGTGGGAGATAGGTTCCAAGACCCGCTCCCCCCCCCAAGTAGATACCTGAAGTCGCAGATAGTACTGAATCCTATATATGCTACGTTTTTTGGATTTGGTCACTGACAGGCAGGCAGCAACTACAGGGTGGATCCACTGGACAGAGGGTTGATTGACATCCCAGCCGGACAGAGCAGAAGGGCACGAGATTTCACCATGCTACTCAGAATGGCATGCAGTTTAACACTAATAACTTGCTTATTTCTGGAATTTCCATTTAATATTTTTGGACCACTGATGACCATGGGTAATTGAAACCTCAGAAAGTGAAACCCTGAATAAGGGGAAACTACTGCATAAGTGCTTCTCTGCTAGTGTACACTGTTCAGTTGGACTTTGTGGACACCTAGCCTCCAGAACATATAGGTCTGAGGACACAGCTTTGGGATGGTGACCTGGGATGCAGAACTAGAGGCTGAACCACATGAAATGGACATTTCTGTAATAAAAAAAAATAGGTTGAAAACTAGCAATTCCTCATGCTTCAGTCTAGTAGTTCTCATTGATCTGTGCAGAAGAGAGTTAATATGGCAGGTCCCTGTGCTTATTTTATATATATTCACATGTATTTATTTCCTATATCTATTTGCTCAAATACACCTGCCAGGGATACTGTAACATTTGAATCATGGACTCCTAATGACTTTTCTGATTATTCTTATTCAGCTTTTCCTGAAATTCCTCATAATTATAGTGAAGTTGTATAGCAATTGTCAAAGCTCAGGGGAGATGGCATCAGATAAACCTGGGTTTCAATTCCCCTTCTACCTCAGTTTTCTTTCTATTCACATTTACTCAGCACCCTATTCGGTGGGGCATCTTCAACTTGGTACTGGAAATAATACGAAGTGAACAATATATCGCCTCCCATCATTCCTTTTCCTTTTCTTAATCTATGTTTCTAGGTTACACTGCGTTCTAGAGCTTTGATTTCCCCCAGCAATCTCTTCTCTTTGAAAAGTCATCTTTCATTATGGTCTAAAGTACTCACTGTTTTCTACGTCAGTCACTGTTGTAAGTGCGTTTATAAATATGTTCTCTCAGCACATTCCAGTC